CCCCCCCATCCCCAAAAATTTCTCAGCGGATTTGGGCTGTACTCAGCAAGCGCAGTACAGCCCCCTCCTCAGATTTGAAAAAACAAAATCAGTGGATGGTTGTTTTCTGACTGGTCGGCAGACCGCCGACCGGTCGGCCCTACTGGTTGGCTGCAATACGGCCGGCGGTCGGGGTCGGTGGTCGGCAGGGATGCAACCATGATCTACGGTCAGTATCTCTTAATTCGTGCAAGTGGGACCTAGGCCCGGAAAGGACGGGGGGCAATACCCAACATAGTAGGCTATGCTGGAAACTAGATAGGGCCAGCGTACCTCCATTCCCTCAATGAAGATCCTCCCAAATAAAACCTTGAAGCTCCTCCCAAATAAAACCTTGAAGCCCAAATAAAACCTTGAAGCTCAAAGATACATAGAGATCATATAAAAATACATAGAAATCATATATAGCAAAACTATGCAAAATACAAACACTTTGACCTTGAAGCCCAAATAAAACCTTGAAGCTCCTCCCAAATAAAACCTTGAAGCTCAGTAAAAGGTTGGCGGATGTAGAAACTAGAGAACAGACACCGCATTCCCACTGGGTGGGCAATTTTCCACTCCGTAACTTGACATGCCAGAGGAGGAGATCTCCTTCTCTTAAACAGTTGTAGCCTAACTCGATCAGGGCGACGGTAGGGCCTACCGGTAGAGTCTTTCATCATACCTGCAATCTCCGTTCTTGGGTTCACGCATAGGTCCCATACGAAGAGAAAAGATGCCTACGCATGAGAACAAAGGAGAAAGATGCACCAATACAACCACTCTGCTGCGCACGCAAAAAGTGGACACCAATCAACGTACGGCAGTTATCGCTGTATGTATTTGGGGTATCTTTCGGTCTAGATACCGCAGTAATCACCGTACGTTGTTTTCCGGTTACGACGGTATCTTAATTTAAGGGGTAATTGCACAAGGAAACAACGTACGGTTCCAAAATATTCCATGGGTGCCCCTACAATTGGTATAGGGGCACCCATGGAATTGAACCGGCACCCTTATAGGGGCACCCATGGAATCGAACTGGCACCCTTAGCCACGAGAGCTAAGTTTCTTAACCGCTACGAAAGGATGATTAAGGGGAATGCGTGTCATTTGTGTTTTTTTTTTGTTTTTTTTTTGGTCCCCCCCCCCCACCCCCCACCAAAAAAAACTTCATGAACTGGGGTTCCTGCTTAACAAGGCAGCTACTCAGCTGTTTTGCTGACTCAGAGATAGACAACAAGCTACTACCGCATGCCTTGGTGGAAACAGGGTGGCCTATCTAGGCTACCAGCCGGGCCGCCCAGTCCCGGGTGGCCAGCCCGTGCAAGGACCAGGGAAGGTCCCAGCAAAAAAAAAAA